GATTATACTTAATTTGCATAATTAAACTTCACATTTAAAAAAAATTTAATACACAGTGTTATTTTGCTATCATTGAGAAATGATTATAGTTGTATTAATGTTTTGAATTAGCTTTTATTTTATATTTTCTGTTTCATTTTAATTTCAAAGTTTTAGAGCTTTTGTTGCATTTTTGTCATTTTGATTCGTTTTTGTGTGTTTTAAATGTCTACATCCTTTTTAGTCATATTTATTTCAGTTTCACATCAAGTGAAAACCTACACTTCATTCAAAAGTGTTTGGTTGGTAAGATTTTTTTAATGTTTTTGAATGCTCATTTAAGGCTGCATTCAGTTGATCAAAATACGGTAAACTTGTATTAATTACAATTGAAAATAACCGTTCATAATGTTAATATATTTTCAATGCTGTGATGCGCAGCTGAATTTCCAGCATCATTACTCCAGTCTTCAGTGTCACATGATCTTCAGAAATCAGTATAATATGCTGATTTGCTGCTCAAGAAACATTTCTGATTATTATCATTTATCAATGTTGAAAACAGTTGCGCTGCTTCATATTTTTGAGGAAACCTTGATGCTTTTTATTTTTTCAGGATTCTTTGATCAAATATTTTTGTTACATAAATGTTTCTACTGTCACTTGTGATCAATTTAATTAATTCTTGCTTAATAAGATGTAGGAGTTTTAATGCTTTTTTTTTTTTTAAAGAGACAAGCTCCCCAAAAATGCCTTCTTTTTGTATTCCATGGTAGAAACAAGTCATTCTGGTTTGGAACAGCATGACTGAATGGCAGAATTTTAATTTTGGGGTCAATTATCCCATTAAAGCATTTCAAAACTCAAGGGGCATGTCAAATAAATCATTTAGATCAGTGGTCGCCAACCCGTCGATTGCAATCGACTGGTAGATCTTTATCACTGTCCCAGTAGATCCCGAAAAAAACAGTAAAATAAGTACAAAAATGCATTACATTTCTGGGGTTATATTAATGTATCACTGAAGGGAACTGTCTTGAGAAAAGTTTCGATGGCAATGGCATTTTCTTCTCCTCCATATAAAGCGCATCTCTGCTTTGTTTACAGCGGGAAACAAGGAATTGGGCTAACGTTACTTTAACACTGTTGCCGCGGGTTGTTGTTCATGTCCGCGGGTTGAAGCGACCCCAATAACGTGACATTTAGCCCCTGGAATGCGAGTTTTACTGGAAGATCACCACCGAAAAACTTGTATTTTATCCCTGGAATGCGATTTTTACAGGGGAAACCCCTCGAAACACGATTGGACTAGTTCTATTGCGAAAACCTGGCAACCCTGTTCATAAGCGCCACCTGTGGTCAGAGAGTGCGTCTCATTCAGACCTGCTGTTTTTGTTTGTGCAGATGTTTTATGTAGCAAATAAATAAATAACACCTAGAGTCAGACCATTCTGTTTTTGTTTTAAATCCTGAAATTAATCTAAATCAAATCAAAAACAACTGCCCGTGCAGATCATGATTAAAATGCAGTGGTTGCCTCTAATTCAAATGGCTAGATACTTTAGTTTGAAGTCAGTTTGTTTGTTATAAAGCAGATAGCCAATAAATAAATTTGCTTAAATATCAGTATCAGAATCAGCCAATTTGCTAGTTAAAAAAAAGAAAGAAAGAAAAGAAAATCTGAATTCGGAATCAGCTATGACTGCATCCCTAATTAAAATACTAAGTAAAAGGCCTCAAATTTGAAGTAAAATCTTCTATGTCTTTTTCTATCAATTCTTCAATAGGTAGATCTTGTCTTTCATAAAGGCCGAGGTCAGGGATCTTGGGCCTAAAAAGGTTGGTGACCACTGATTTAGATCATCAGGGCATTTTTCACTCTTTTTTTAAGAGTGCAGTGTAATAGTTAATCCTCTCTTCAGGATTTTCTAGATAGAGATTTCAACAGTAAATGCTCCATTTTAATCTTTATAACCAGATGGAGATTCACGGCCAGCTGTGCTTTTATAAATCATGTGCATTACATCACGTGACTTACTGTACACATGTGGCAGACAACACTGAATTTGACTTAACAAACAGTTTTTCATTTGATATTAACCACAATAATGCCAAACACTTCTGAAGGAGGAATATGCATGATGAGCACTTCTTGATGCTTTTCCTTCACCGAGCACTGCACCTCATCCCTGTCAATGAAACTAAAAGATTCCTTTTGTACAGAAATGTCTATTTATGCACAGTTTGTATTTGTGTACAAAACCTTTTTCAGTCGTCTTTAGATCAAAAGCCTTTTAAGATCACCAGAAACATAAATGTAGTCTTTTGACTAAGAGTAAATAAACTTCGATCCTTCTGTTTTCTATCCTACATATCAGCTCTGTGTTGTCTTACTGTAAGTTTCTCTGATTCGTACAGTAGTTTCTGTTCCACTGACCTGGGACGGGACGTTTTTTGGCGGCTCTATCCTGATGGACGGGTCCCATTCTCCCGGTGGCAGAACTGTAACCTGGTCAAGAAATTCATCGATTCCAGCAATCAGATCATTGCGGTCTTTAGCTTTATAGGCCACATCATGGAAAACCTACAAAAGACAAAACCGGAACATTCTTAGTCAAAAATTGTATGGATGTTGATTTCCACCACGGAATATATATATTTAAAAAAGTCCTTCTGAGTTTATATGACTTTTTTATATATAAATATTTCAGTTTTTTATTTGTATTTATATTTTTATAAATAAAGTCAGAAATGCAAAATATAAACTCTCAATACTGAGAAAAAAAACTGAATTGTGGCATATAAACTAACAATTGCAAGAAAAAAATTTGAATTGCGAGACAAACTCACAATTGAAAAAAGTCAGAATTGTGAGATGTAAACTCAGAATTACAAAAAAAGTCATAATTGCAAGATATAAACGTAGAATTCTGAGGGAAAAAGTCATAATTGCGAGATATAAACTCAGAATTCTGAGAAAAAAAGTCATAAAATTAATTAATAATTAATAATTCCAAAAACAAGAAGAAAAAAAATCTGAACTTTAAACACTGAATTCTGAGAAAAAAGGTCAGAACTGTGAAAAGTAAACTCAGAATTTCGAATTCAGAGAAAAAAGTCAGAATTGTGAGATATAAACAGAATTCTGAGAAAAAAAACAGAATTGTGGCATATAAACTCGCATTTGCAAGAAAAAAATGTGAATTGTGAGATGTAAACTCAGAATTACAAAAAAAGTCATAATTGCAAGATATAAATGTAGAATTCTGAGAGAAAAAAGTCAGAATTGTGAGATATAAACAGAATTCTGAGAAAAAAAACACATTTTGAACATTCTTCCTAGTAGCTGTTTGTGTTTCATGAAAGAAAGAAAACAATGCAGTAAATGAATGTTTACTCGCATTTGCAAGAAAAAAATGTGAATTGTGAGATGTAAACTCAGAATTACAAAAAAAGTCATAATTGCAAGATATAAATGTAGAATTCTGAGAGAAAAAAGTCAGAATTGTGAGATATAAACAGAATTCTGAGAAAAAAAAACACATTTTGAACATTCTTCCTAGTAGCTGTTTGTGTTTCATGAAAGAAAGAAAACTTCATTTAAAGACAAGTTATTTCTTTAAGACTCTTTTATACTGGAAAAGCCTGGAAAAAAGTACATATTCTCATTTTCATGCTCTTCAATAACGTCCTGAGATGTTGCCTTAGCAACATCAAGCAGCAGCTTGGCACGAGGGTGGTTTTCTGGCTAATTAGCAGTCATTTGCATGTTATTAGGGCTGTTCTGCAAGTCTCCTCTGCACCTCTAAGACTAAGTGAGAGAGAATGTGCTGAGCTGTGAAAGACCTCAGGAGTCTCCAGTCCTCTCATCTCTGTGAGACGGCTTCAGTCTGCATGAAATCCAGTTTATTAAAACAATAACCTCTCATGGTCAGAAATTTGTGGGGAGTTTTTAGATAGAAAGCAACAGATGGCAGTCTTCAATAATGAGTTACATTTATTATAATTAATGGGCCACTCCTTCCATGAAGTACATTTTTATGTCTCTCTATGTTGGATAAAATATTAAACAATTTTTAAACGATATAAATCATATTAGTTAGCTTTCTTTTATCACAGTTGAGTAAACATGTACGTTTGGTTTGAGTGGATGACAAAAACAGACAATTTCATATAATAAAAAAATATCTTGCATAAAACATATCTTTCTCTTTGGAATATTGTGTTGATAGATCATTAATTTGTATGTTTTTTCCATTTCTATTCGGTTATTTATTTATTTTATTTATTATTTTTTTAAAGGGACATCATTTTTGATGGATTTGATGAAGTCCTTGATGTTTTCTGTGGTATTATTTGGTTAGTGTCACTCTAAAAACTCTTGTTTGATCCAATTACAGAAATCTGAAAAAAATTATAAAACCATAAATATAAAAAATATAAAATATATACAAAAAAATGTAAATAATATAATAAATAATTTAAAGATGACAACGTTCGTTTTCATAATTAATTAGTCACTTTGTGTCACTAAAAATTCTCATTCAAACAAATTACAGAAATTGGAATTGTAAAATAAAACAATAAAATAAAATAAAATATAAATGTAAAAAATCTATATAAAATATACACAAAAATAAACAATAATATAATATATAATATAATGATTTAATAAAATTAATTCAAGTTGACAACTATGCAAGTGGACTTTCATTTTCATAACTAAATACTTGGTTTGTGTCATTTAAAAAAAAATCATGTTTGATTACACAAATATAAAAAATATATATATATTTAATAAAATAATTTTGAGTTGACCATTTAATATAAGTGAACCTTCATTTTCATAATAACTTCAAATCAGAATCAGAATCAGAATCAGAAAAGCTTTATTACCAAGTACACACACAAGGAATTTGACTTGACGACAGGAGCTTCCAGTGCAGAAGAAAGTACAAACATAGTGCAGACATGCATAGGAATAACACAGTAAGGATGTAATATAACACTAATATAATAAAAAAAGAAAAATTGAATAATGTACTATATACAGAAATAGAAGTATAGGAAAAAATGTAATTGTTTAGATAAATGTACAGATATGTTTATTAGTGTGCAGATACTGTATGTTATTTACAAAGTGTGCAGTTTAATATAAGTATAACTACTTTAACCTCCTGTCTGTAAGCAGACTCGTTTCCATCCTTGATGAGGCCGATGACTTTAGTGTCGTCTGCGAAATTCAGGAGCTTGACAGAGGGGTCCTTAGAGGTGCAGTCATTCGTGTAGAGAGAGGGTGGACACGTAATGTGCTGCTTGTATTTTGGCAGTTCACGGGAGAGATTTGATTTGTTAAAGTCTCCAAGAATGATTAAAATAGAGTCTGGGTACCTTTGCTCCATTTCAGTTATTTGTTCGGCCAGCTGTTGCATCGCGGCGCTCACGCACGCGTCCGGAGGCACGTACACATTCACAAGAATGAAAGAGGAAAACTCCCGCGGCGAGTAGAACGGTTTACAGTTTATGATGAGTGCCTCTAAATTAGGACAGCATACCTTTTTCAGCGTTGTTACATCTGAACACCAACTTTCGTTGATGTAGAAACACAATCCACCACCTCTGGTTTTCCCTGTTAACTCCGCGATGCGATCCGCTCTGAACAGCTGGTAGCCCGGCAGATGAAGCGCGTTGTCCGGAATGGCTTCACTCAGCCAGGTTTCAGTGAAGCACAGTGCAGCAGAGTTTGAAAGGTCCTTGTTGGTGCGGGTGAGGAGAAGAAGTTCATCCGTTTTGTTAGGAAGGGAACGGACATTCGCGAGATGAATGCTTGGGAGCACAGTCCGAAAGCCGCGTGCGCGGAGCTTCACCAGGGCGCCGGCACGTTTCCCTCTTCTGCGTCTGCACGCGCGTTTGAACAACACCGCTGTACCTCCGACTAGAATGTCTAACAAAATGTCCGAATAATCAAAAAACAGAAAAATATTGTCTGGGGTGTGCTGCTTAATGTTATGGAGTTCGTCTCTGGTAAAACTTATAGAAGAAGAATGACAAAACACAGAACAAACAAACAAAAACAATAGAAGAATCGTGGAGCTCAGCGTCCTGGCTGCCATTTGCGCCGCCATCATCATGTATGTGATGCATACTCATGCCATCAAATGCAGCTCATTCAATCAGAATTTAGAATCAGTTTTTATAAAATCTAATTTGAATGATTATAAAATGCCTCTGGATCAAAAATACAAAGTCAATACAAACAGTACTTTGTTAAAACAAAGTACTGAAAAACATCATGTCCTCTTACCTCATCTGTCATCAAGGTAGCAATTGATCTGCCAATCTCGTGATATTGTGGTCCTTTACCCAGAGGCCCCAGCAGGATGAACAGGAACCTGAGAGATGAGGCACAAAACAGTAATGTAACTGTGTTCTTATGTTGGCTTTCACAAGCTGTTCACCAAGATGTTCACCTGGTGGTGATGGGAACTTCCGCCAGGCCGTTCAGCAGTACGGCAGGAGAGAGGCGGACAAACGCCACGATGGGCCTGTCCAGAAACTCCAGCTCTCCAACCAAAACATTAGAGGCCTCTGCACCTGGAGGAATCTTCTTCATGAAGTGCAGGTCTATCTACACACAAATCATTATGCAGAGTCAGGTTCCTGCATCACTAGATGAGAAATACAGAGGCATATTGAGAACAAAGTCTTGCATGTTCGTTTTGAACTGGTTCGTCATACAGACCTTAAGCTAATCTAAATAAAAAAATGGACAGACTAAAGAGAGTTTAAAAGAGTGGTAGCCTTGTGGAGCGTGAATACTTTTGCAGTTTCTACAGTGTTGCTAGTCGGTTGCTTTGGTGATCTTAGTTGGTAGGAGGTTGCTAGGGTGTTCTAGGTGTATTTTGGGGGGAAATTATGGGACAAGAACATGTTTGATCAGTTACTTAATTCATTCAGAAAAGATCAAAAGACTGTGTAGGTTATAATCAGGATTATTATAAAGCTAAAACCATTAAAAAAAACATCCAATACTTTAAATAAAATATACATGAACTCAAATAAAATAAATTATGTATTAAAAAAATTTACTTATTTTTATTTCGACTAGTTGCCAAGACAACATTTCGCATTTTTGTTTAGTTTAAGTTGAAATATTAAAATAACTAAAACTAAATAAACTAAAACATACTTAAAAAATGATGATAATAATAAAATGACAAAAACACAGCAAAATTACTAAAACTTTAACTAAAAATAAAATCAAATTCAAAATATTAACAAAAACATTTTTGTTACTTGAAATAAATGTTCAAACAAAAAATATATATAAAATGACAAAAACACAACACAATTACTAAAACGTTAACTTTTATAAAAAATCATTTGAAACTAATTCAAAATATAAACAAAAACTATAACAGTACCTCAATAATACAAAAAAAAAACTTAACCTCAGTGTGCTGGTTTTTTGAAGCCACCATAATTACGCAATCCCATCCATATATAGGATATGAGATTTGATTTTCAAATCTCGATATGGAATATTAAAAAGCATTAAAAAAAATCCATAAAGCTCTTTGTAGAATTCTGGAATTCTGTTTTCTGTGTAAATGTGCTCTCAAGACTGGTTTAGGGCCAAAGGTCAAAATGATGTACAGAACCAAAGAGATTATGTATGTTTGCATAATGCAAAAGGCCATGTATTGTGTAAGATTTCATAATATTACTCTCTATTTTAATTGCAGCATTTCATCACGACCCCTGTGAACCTGACAGCACAGCACCTGCCTGCTCATCTGTTCATGGGATCACAACATAATACCCACTTAATACAAGAAACAGAACAGTCTAATGTCAGGTAAAGAGGGTTTCAACCACAGTGTGTTTGAAGCATAATCCCTCTTCCCAGAACAGACGGCTTCAGAGAAAGCACACAGACCTCTATGTACTGTACTGGACTGTAAGTCACACTGTAAAAGTGTTAGCTATTTTAAAAGAAACTTTAAGTTACTTCACTATATATGGTGAAATATTCATGAGAATAGAATTGAAAGGACATTTCACTTTATAATGCAGTAAAATGTGTTTTTTTGGGGGGGGGGGGGGGGGGGTTGGGGTTAAGAACGTCCATAAAATGTATGGAAATAATTGCATGTTTTTATAATTCTACATTATATTGCATTCAGAAAGAAAATACATGTACTTTTAAGGTAATTAATGTTCAAATTATTATTATTATTTATTTTGCTTTTGTGCAATAAAAACATGATGCATCACATCTGGTTATATAAACTGCCTTTCAAAAGTTTGGAGTTACGATTTTTTTTAATGCTTTTGAAAGAAGTATTTTATGCTAAAAAAGACTGTTTTTATTTGATCAAAAATCAATTAAAAGCAGTAATATTGTAAAATATTATTACACTTTGAAATAACTATATTCTATTTGAATATATTTTAAAATGTAATTTATTCCTGTGATCAAAGCTGCATTTAAGCTTTTCTTTTGTTTTTACTCGCGATCTTTACAACACGCATTACATTACGTATTTCATGGCACACTCATTTTATGCGTATTTGGCACCACCTATTGTTGTGGGTGTATTATTGACATGTCAAAGTCTAGAGCCTGAATATAAGATGACCGCATTTTTTCAGATAATTTGACAAAAAACAAAAGCATTCATTTCTATTAAACACCCCCCACCCATATTTGAATGGATGTATATCACGATTTCTGCATAAATATTAACTATCTTTACAACACGCATTACATTACGTATTTCATGGCACACTCATTTTATGCGTATTTGGCACCACCTATTGTTGTGGGTGTATTATTGACATGTCAAAGTCTAGAGCCTGAATATAAGACGACCGCATTTTTTCAGATAATTTGACAAAAAACAAAAGCATTCATTTCTATTAAACACCCCCCACCCATTTTTGAATGGATGTATATCACGATTTCTGCATAAATATTAACTAGCACAACTGTTTTCAACATTGAAAATAATCAGAAAAGTTTCCTGAGCAGCAAATCAGCATATTAGAATGATTTCTGAAGATCATGTGACACTGAAGACTGGAGGAATGATGCTGGAAATTCAGCTTTGCATCACATGAATAAATTACATTTTAAAATATAGTAACATAGAAAATAGTTATTTTAAATTGTAACAATATTTCACAATATTACCGTTTTGCTGTATTTTTTAGCACATACATGCAGCCTTGTAATGTTTCCAAACTTTTGACAAGTAGTGTAGTTATATTTAATTCTGCATCTTTACCTTGCTGAAGTCCACAGCACTGTTTTCACGGCTCACGTCATTCTTGCCCTCTGTGGTCAGTGGTTGAGACTGGGGAGGAATCATCTGACCTGCAGACAGAGAGACTATCAATCAATCAATCAATACAATGCCAAAACTAATCAGTGTTATTCAGCCAATGAAAGGAACGCAGCATAAGCATCGGCTATATTTCCAGATTAAATGTAGCAGACTGAAATGATTGTGCATATATGATGGTAGGAGAGAAAATTATTTTAATGGAGGTCTGTCATGATCGCAGATGTGTTTTAACCATCACTATTAATTACTACATCCATAAAATGAGACACAATGAGCAGAGAGACAATGGCTAGTACTAATTTCACATTTTTGTCAGTATGCTCAATACAGCAGCCTTCAAAAATGGATATAAATACATGTATAAATCACCAAGCATCACTTCATGGAAACTCGATTGCGTTGACAAGTAGTGTAGTTATATTTAATTCTGCATCTTTACCTTGCTGAAGTCCACAGCACTGTTTTCACGGCTCACGTCATTCTTGCCCTCTGTGGTCAGTGGTTGAGACTGGGGAGGAATCATCTGACCTGCAGACAGAGAGACTATCAATCAATCAATCAATCAATCAATACAATGCCAAAACTAATCAGTGTTATTCAGCCAATGAATGGAACGCAGCATAAGCATCGGCTATATTTCCAGATTAAATGTAGCAGACTGAAATGATTGTGCATATATGATGGTAGGAGAGAAAATGATTTTAATGGAGGTCTGTCATGATCGCAGATGTATTTTAACCATCACTATTAATTACTACATCCATAAAATGAGACACAATGAGCAGAGAGACAATGGCTAGTACTAATTTCACATTTTTGTCAGTATGCTCAATACAGCAGCCTTCAAAAATGGATATAAATACATGTATAAATCACCAAGCATCACTTCATGGAAACTCGATTGCACTCTACTCTAAAGGCAGCTAAAGCAGCTTTTAGCACATGATGCAGCACCAAAGCCCTTAGTTAAGAGAGCATCTTACATGGCATGAACAGATTTGTGTTTATTAGTCATGCTCGCTGCTGTTTTAATGCAGCTTTGGCTCTGTACTAATGATGCTCTGAGCGCTTGCACGGCACAGAACGAAGGGTCTGGAACACTTCATGCGCTAGCATTAGCGTGTGGGAAGCTGGCAAACTTCCTAAACATAAGCCCTGTATAAAGGTGATGAATATTCAGAATAGCCTTCACCTTTCTCACAGTACAATATCATGTCATTTATCTGCAAAATTACACTGCTTATCTACTGGCACAAATTGTATAATATTAAATTTTTTAAGTCGCTTTCGATAAAATGCATAATACATATATGTAAATTAATAAATGTAGCATCAGCCTTGGGTTTAGCCAACTGAAAGAAACATTTTTCAGTACCATGAAGGTAAGTCAACTGTTGCTGCCTTCAAGTGGCACTTACAAGCCATAGATAACGATCTTTTTGCTAATTTTGTTCAGAAAAAAAATCAATGTATTGGACATTTTTAGTATTGGACAAGTTTTCTTGCAACAAAAAGAAGATGTGCATTAGGTGCCTAATTTACACTTTACTCTGTATTTTATCTTTGTGACTTGTACAGCCAAAGAGAATCATGGGAAATGTAGTTTTGTCACCCAATAGAATGCAACAATCCCATTCATTTTCTTTCATAAGGGAATTGATTTTAAAGCTAACTCATAATCCATTAAAGGCATATCTACTGTCAGTTACAAGGTTGTTAATAGATGGTATGCTTACATTATTAACAATACTTGTGTTTAAATGTGGAACTCCTGGAGAAAGACTACATTACCCATGATTCTGCAAAGAAATCTCAACCAGTCAGATAACTGAATTAAGTAAAATGCACAAAAAAACCTCTTTAACACTGCGAATGATGTAATAGTTTCCCTATGCTCTCAAACTGCTTAAATAATTCTAAATATAGACATATTCTGCAATAATGGTAAAATGTGTTATTTCTATAGATAAAATCAACATCTATAAATCAATCGTTTTCTATTTATCTGTCGATTTTTAATGTCTAGTTCTTCACAAACACTTTACTGAGTCGATTCATTCAGACAGTTCATTATAATGAACCTGTTCAGCAAAATGATTCTCTGAGTCATCTGAATCATCACTCCTGGAACTTCTTGTGCATCCTACATTACCCATGATTCTGCAAAGAAATCTCAACCAGTCAGATAACTGAATTAAGTAAAATGCACAAAAAAACCTCTTTAACACTGCGAATGATGTAATAGTTTCCCTATGCTCTCAAACTGCTTAAATAATTCTAAATATAGACATATTCTGCAATAATGGTAAAATGTGTTATTTCTATAGATAAAATCAACATCTATAAATCAATCGTTTTCTATTTATCTGTCGATTTTTAATGTCTAGTTCTTCACAAACACTTTTACTGAGTCGATTCATTCAGACAGTTCATTATAATGAACCTGTTCAGCAAAATGATTCTCTGAGTCATCTGAATCATCACTCCTGGAACTTCTTGTGTATAATTTTTTATGCTTTTATGTATATTAACATATTAAGATTGACAGTACGCAGACATTTAATGTACTTAAAGGAAAGCATCTCACCATTTTTTATTATTTTGGTGCCGTTCATGAGCACTCGTTTCATAATAACGATCATTCTGACATTATCTGAATGCAATATCTTAGAATATCTCATAAAAACAAAACAAACAAAAAAAAAAACAGAAGTTTGGATTCATTTTATTGATTCAACTCATTCTAACAGTTCATTTTAAAGAACTGGTTCAGCAAAATTATTCATTTGAATCATCACATAGTTCCTGGAATTTCTTGTGAGATATTTTATGCATATATGCATATTAACATATTAACATAAGTCTCCCTAACGTATATCCTTGTTTTTGCGTGAGATAAATTCTAATTTAATCATAATTTAACTTAAGATAGCTTAAATATAGTTACTGTAGCTAATTTTTTATTTTTAAATCTGTAAAAGTTGTACATAAAACAGATTATACGTTGTTTACGTCCATCTGATATTCTCCAAAATGGCACTACAGGGTGATGCGGAGGAGACGAATTGTTTAATAAAGTCATTGTTTTTTTTCTTTTGCGCACAAAAAGTATTCTCATAGCTTCGTATAATTGCGGATGAACCACTGATGTCACATGGATTATTTTACAGATCTCCTTGCTACGTCTCTGGACTTGGGAACATTTCAGTTGCTTTGCTGTCTATGCAGGGTCAGACAGCTCTCAGATTCCATCAAAAACATCTTAATTTGTGTTCCGAAGATGAACGAAGGTCTTACGGGTTTGAAACGACATGAGGGTGAGCAATTAATGACAGAACTTTCATTTTTGGGTGAACTAACCCTTTAATAACATTTGCTATTTGTTATTAAAATCATCTCAGAGAATCATGCATCCTCGCAGCCTGTCTTAGCATTTTAGCCTACAGTTTGTTTACCACGTGCAACCTATCCGCTGAGATAACCACCTTCACACGTTATGTTTTAGGAAGCACTACAACAGAAGGGAAAGTCTCTCAAGTTAAAAGTTGCCTGGATCCAAGCCGTCGTCTCTGTCCAGGCTGAAGGAGGCGGTGGGGTTCTGATTTGGGTGGGTGGATGTGGAGGATGGAGGAGGGAGAGGTGAGGTGATGGACACTCTGGACGAGCAGCACAGAGGCCAACATGGAGAACAAGATGAGACCTGTCCATCGTTCCCATCACAAACAACTGACTGCCACAGAGGACACTTAAAGAGATGAGATGATGCACCTGTCAGACACACACACACATAAAGAGGAGACAAGACAACAGAGACACTGAAACTCTGAGATGGTGGATCTGGCATGTGTGAGCTGATTTTTAGGAGCAACAGATTTCTAATGAAACCAGCAACAACTCTAATGGACATAAATTGGACAATTTCACTTAAGTGCTAAGTTTTAGGAGTGGCAACTGCATTAAATAGCCAAAATTATTGTTCCATTTCCAACACATCTTATTTAGTCCAGTTTGTAATAAATAAATACATATTTAAAAACAGGAATATATACATAAAATAAAGTAATTGAACATTATAAATATTTAAAAATATATATTTCAATTTGGCTGGTAAGTTTTTAATGTCTCTTAGCTCACATCAAGGTTGCATTATTTATTATTCAAAAATACAGTAAAATCAGTAAATATTATTACAATTTAGAATAACTGTTTTCTATTGTAATATATTGTAAAATGTAATTTATTTCTGTGATCAAAGCTGCATTTTCAGCATCATTACGCCAGTCTTCAGTGTCACATGATCCTTCAGAAATCATTCTAATATTATGATCTGCTGCTCAAGAAACATTTCTGATTATTATCAATGTTGAAAACTGGTGTGCTGCTTCATATTTTGTGGAAACAGTTATATCTATTTTCAGGATTTTTGGATGAATAGAAATTATAATTATTTAAACCATAACATGTTATAGTAATTATAATGGTAAAGACATTATAAATGCTTTTTTTTGCCACTTTGGATCAATATAATGCATCCTTGCTTATAATAGTACTCAGTTCATATTCATTTACTGAACCAAATTTTTAAGTTGTAGTTGTACATAGTTTTGATGTCATTTGCATAATCAGACCTGCAACCTCCTGTATTTTCTGCACAAAGGCAAATGAATACCATTTTTGTCTATGCAGTTTGTCTCAGACTGCCTCTTGCCGATGTCTGCGAAAGAGCGGACGATGGGAATCCGATTGGCCAGTTTCTTCTGGTTCTGATGATGGTGCTGCTTCAGAAGAGCCTCTTTGACCTTCTTCCTGACATCATCTTCGAGTTGCACAGCCACTTCTTGTTGGTCCAGCACCATATCTAAGAAATTCATTCAGATAAGATAAACACATATATGAATGCATATGCACATATAAATACATTTATTTTTATATATTACATTTTTTAATATAGTTGTATATATAGGTTTTAAGATACGTATATATGTTAGCTGTTGCTTAGATGATCTTTTTACATATTTGTTGTAATTTCATAGTAAAACGTGAACATTTCTTTAGCATAACACGTTACCTGCAATCTCCTCCAGAGAGCTGGCTCTCATGTCCAACATGACGGTGCCGTTTGTAATGCAGCTCCGCAGCTCAAAGAGACTGTGCAGAGAGAGCGTCGCAACGTACGGTTTACTCCAGCGCTCACCTCCATCCTCCACGTCCTCTTCAAACTTCAGCCACCTGGACAAAGAGACACGGACATGCTTAAAGAAATAGTTCACCCAAATATGTATTCGCCCTCAGGCCATCCAAGATGTAGATGAGTTAGTTTCTGACTCAGAATTGGAGAAATGTAGCATTGCATGACTTGCTCACCAATGGATCCTCTGCAGTGAATGGGTGCCGTCAGAATGAGAGTCCAAACAGCTGATAAAAACATCACAATAATCCACACCACTCCAGTCCATCAGTTAACATCTGGTGAAAAGCTGCGTGTTTGTAAGTTGTCTGGACAAAATGGAAAAGTCCATCTCCTGTTGTCTCTCTCATCCCAATCCACTCACATATTTGTTTAGAGCTGTTTTCACTTGTAAACAGTGCTTGATCTGTGCATATTTCTCTCCTGATTCAGACAAAATGACTTTTTCACTGGAGGATGTGATGGACTGTAGTGGTGTGGATACTTGTGATGTTTTTATCAGCTGTTTGGACTCTCATTCTGACGGCACCCATTCACTGCAAAGCATCCATTGGTGAGCAAGTGATGCAATGCTACATTTCTCCAAATCTGATGAAGAAACAAACTCATCTGCATCTTGGATGGCCGGAGTACATTTGGCGAGTACATTTTCAGCAAATTTTCATTTTGGGGTGAACTATTCCTTTAAAAACATCCACACCTGCAGCCAGATAACCAATGAATGTGAAAAACAAAAGTTTCAAGACAATTCTAAATTAAGAGCAGAAAAGTAGTAACTTAAAACATGAGGCTCTCATACAAATCCAGAAGAATCAGAATCAGAGACGTACATACTTTATTTCATATGCCAAATATATCATATTTGTCCTTCTTAGAGCTTGACAGCACTATGAACTGTCAAGAACAACATGCAGGTGAATAAATAATAACAGAAACAACCTTCCTTATAACCTTTACTGAACACGTAAATAGAAAATTGTGTTGTCTCATGTGAATTTTTTATATTTTTAGATATAAAGAACTACGGTGTACGTGTTGCCTTTGCTTATTGAAGAAAAATGAAAGCAATTCTCATGCTGAGTGCACTTGCATTTAGATGTGATGCCATATGACAATGTAGAAACCATCATCATTGTAAGTGCTTTATTTAGCCTTTCTGTTTTATCACACACACAAACATTACACAACAATGGTTCTTTATATAACTGCAGCTCTCTTGGACTAATGCCGCTCAACAGATTTAATGCATTAAACATCACTCATGCTCTCAAAACATATGAGAGCAGCCAAGAATCAATCTCTAATAAATGCAGAACATTAACAATCGATGTCAAAATATTGATTAATTACTTATGGGCTAATAACAAATAAAGATCGCCGAGATGGAGAAAAGTAAAAATCTTTTAAAAATTGTTTAAATTTTTGCATTCATCACGCTGGTTGAAAAACATCTATATCATTCTTAACAAAAAAAAAAAAAGAATGAAGGACTTTCTAATCAGTAAGTAAAAATGATTAAAATAATTTCTTGATCATTATGTTCAAAAGCTCTGTGACAATCTGAACTAACCATGCAGTGTCTTAAAAAAGTGGAAATATCAGATTTGCATGTACTGACCTTGACAAACGGCCATTCTGATGTCATTTCCTGTTCTTGTGGTTTCTTGTCACATGCATTGGTCACATGACAAAAAAAATGGTTTCCTGTGTGTTGTTTATAATACATTGACTTGCTGTTGTTTATTCTAATATCAGATCATTTTAGTTATGATTTTAATTTTAGCTAAAGTTTTAATATAACGTTATGTGCTTTTGTCATTTTTAGTAGTTTTATTTTTTAAATATTTATATTTTGCCTATATATTTTTTTCAGTTTTAGTTTTAATTTAACCTTTTCATGGCATACTATTTTTTTAATTGTCAAATCAAATGATCCCAAGAAAAAACATAATTGAAAATAAAATACACTTTATAAATGCATAAGCAAACAAATAAATAAATAAATACAATTTGATTTAAAAAAAAATTAGGATATGTACACTCATATTCTATTCAAGGTTTAGAGAAATATTTTATCACTTTTTACTACATGATTATCACGCTTTTTTTGGAGACACTGATCAAACAATATCAGAACAGTGTTATTTTAATATTATTTATATACTATTATGGTATTTATTGATTAATTTATTAAAATTGCTTTTATTTTTATATTTTCGATTTTCACTTTATTTTTAGCTTAAGTTTTAGCAATATGTTAAGTGCTTTTGCCATTATTATTATTACCTTAGTTGTTGTTTTTTACTTTTCTATTTTTCTATTTTGTCTTTTTTTATTTCAGTTCGATTTTTAATTTGACCTTTTTATGACATATTATCTTTTTAACAGTCAAATCAAATAACCCCTAGAAAAAAATTTTTTACAAATATTTTATAAAATAAATAATAAATAAAAAAAATGTAATAAATAAATAAATACAAACTGGGGGAAAAAAAATTAAGATATGCACACTCATATTCTATACAAGGTTTATGGAAATATTTTTTCACTTTTTACTAGATGAGTGTGCCACTTTTATGGAGACATTTGATAAAATCAGGATTAAAGATTACGTCATATTTATTATTTTCTTTTAAAAAATCGGTATTTTATTTTATTTTAAAAATACGTTTTATCTTCTCAGTCATTATTTGTCTTTGACCCATAAGTGCATATTGAATGACTGAATCCAGACAGGTCACATGTACCTGGCGGTTTCTCTCCACTCAGCATCCTCTCCGTCACGGAGGCAGATCTCATCCAGCTCAGTGAAGAGGTCATGTGGTATGTGCTCTTCATCACCATCCTCAGTGCCCAGCAGAAACTGAACCCTCTGAGACGGAGTATCTGTGACACAGCATTTTAATGACTTCAATAAACTACCAAGCTCAGTTGAAAAGGTCACATGGCTAAAATAGGCAGCTAAAAGCATCAGAGACCCAAAACTGTTCTGTGTTCAACACACGTTACGTCGATAGTAATAAAGCACAGAAAAGAAGCAGCTGCTCTCTAGCAGGACTGAGTCATCATGATGAGCTGCTAAAGGAGCAACACACACTCCAACTCTGAGCCTTTTATACAACAGGACAGACCAGCAAAGAGAAACGGAAATGATGAAAGGATATCAGAAGGAACAGAGGAACAACAGAAAAGAAAGATTTTCTTACTCAGTATGTTTGTCTTGTTTTCCTATACAAATATCTAAAAATTCTTAATTCAATGAAAAATTTACTATTATTTAAATCAGTTTAAATGGATTAAAACAAAAATGTTAATTAATAAATACATTTATTAAAAAATATTTTGCTTAGCTCACTGCCAGATTTTATTATTTTTGTTTGCATAAATGTACTTAATTTTGATATATTTTTTAGAAAACAATATCAATATCTTAAATAATTTTGTGTCTCAACTTAAATGTATCTTGAATTAGCCCTGTAGAGCCTGACATATGAAATGTTAGTCTGAAAAAAAAAGAAACTCAGCATCCTCTCCGTCACGGAGGCAGATCTCATCCAGCTCAGTGAAGAGGTCATGTGGTATGTGCTCTTCATCACCATCCTCAGTGCCCAGCAGAAACTGAACCCTCTGAGACGGAGTATCTGTGACACAGCATTTTAATGACTTCAATAAACTACCAAGCTCAGTTGAAAAGGTCACATGGCTAAAATAGGCAGCTAAAAGCATCAGAGACCCAAAACTGTTCTGTGTTCAACACACGTTACGTCGATAGTAATAAAGCACAGAAAAGAAGCAGCTGCTCTCTAGCAGGACTGAGTCATCATGATGAGCTGCTAAAGGAGCAACACACACTCCAACTCTGAGCCTTTTATACAACAGGACAGACCAGCAAAGAGAAACGGAAATGATGAAAGGATATCAGAAGGAACAGAGGAACATACAGAATTAAAATGGATGGACAGAAACGAAAGATTTTCTTACTCAGTATGTTTGTCTTGTTTTCCTATACAAATATCTAAATATTCTTAATTCAATGAAAAATTTACTATTATTTAAATCAGTTTAAATGGATTAAAACAAAAATGTTAATTAATAAATACATTTATTAAAAAATATTTTGCTTAGCTCACTGCCAGATTTTATTATTTTTGTTTGCATAAATGTACATAATTTTGATATATTATTTAGAAAACAATATTAATATCTTAAATAATTTTGTGTCTCAACTTAAATGTATCTTGAATTAGCCCTGTAGAGACTGACATATGAAATGTTAGTCTGAAAAAAAAAGAATAATAATATATATATACAGTATCTCACAGAAGTGAGTACACCCCTCACATTTTTGTAAATATTTTATTATATCTTTTCATGTGACAACACTGAAGAAATTACACTTTGCTACAATGTAAAGTAGTGAGTGTACAGCTTGTATAACAGTGTAAATTTGCTGTCCCCTCAAAATAACTCAACACACAGCCATTAATGTCTAAACCGCTGGCCACAAAAGTGAGTACACCCCTAAGTGAAAATGTCCAAATTGGGCCCAAAGTGTCAATATTGTGTGCACCCAGCATTATTTTCCAGCACTGCCTTAACCCTCTTGGGCATGGAGTTCATGTTAGAGACCTTGCACTCCTCCACCTTCCGTTTGAGGATGCCCCACAGATGCTCAATAGGGTTTAGGTCTGGAGACATGCTTGGCCAATCCATCACCTTTACCCTCAGCTTCTTTAGCAAGGCAGTGGTCGTCTTGGAGGTGTGTTTGGGGTCGTTATCATGTTGGAATACTGCCCTGCGGATTCAGATCCTTCTTTGCCATGAGGTGCCATGTTGAACTTCCAGTGACCAGTGTGAGAGAATGAGAGCGATAACACCAAATTTAACACACCTGCTCCCCATTCACACCTGAGACCTTGTAACACTAATGAGTCACATGACACCGGGGAGAGAAACTGGCTAGTTGGGCCCAATTTGGACATTTTCACTTATGCCGGGCTCACACTACAGGGGTTTTAAAATCCTAACCGATTATGAAATCTGGTTGCAGCACACACATAAGGAGAATCTTTGCACATTATCTTCTCTCAAATCTTAAACATGCACACACTACAAGATTTGAACATCATGGCGCATCACACACTACAAGATATTATTAAGATTATCATGCCAGAGGGAGCGCCTCACGTGATTGCCTCGTGACCAGAGGCGTGTCTAGGTGAAATCTGGCTGGCCACCCCAGGTGCCCCCCCCTACCAGATATCTTGCGATAGGCTTATTTCTAGTACATTTCTAACGGCATCTGGCAGTGGCGGATCCTGTGTAGGCAGATGCCTAGGGCCGCTTTCTTCTCTTCTTTATACTTAATTTTAAGCGGTTTCTATAGCGTGATCTTAATGACAAATGTCGAGAGCGCATAATGTTACGCGATCCATGTAATGCGTGAGCAAGAATCTCACCGCAAGAATCCGCAAGCGAATTTGCTTCACTCATACAAAACTGTATGTGCTTTTAACTATACATTGTTTTTCTTATTTCATGAATTGGCTCTGCTCTCGCTTAGATATTGCGTGTACACGCTCAAACGTTGTCCTCGCATCACTGAACACCAGAAGAGCTTTTTTTTCTAATTCAGGTGAAGAGTATAGGCTTTTCTTACTAAATGGAAGCAAACTGGTTATAGTCAGCCTTCTCTAGTTATTTATTTACTTATTTTAGTTAAGTGCTTAAATTGTAAATAAGCATTTATTAAATTATTTTATCTAGTGCATTTGTATTTTGTTGTTTTTGTAGGCTATACAATAAAAGCGTATACCAACCAGAAATAATCACTGAGGGTGCTTCTGACATTACGGAGGGTGCTCTAGTTTTAATGCACATTTTCACATATTTTGTCCCATCTATTGCTATGGTTATCACT